CAACAATTTGGATTCACTGCTTTTCTCCTGGTTCTCCCACAGCAAAGTCCCACAAGAAGCATCCTCTCCGCGGGTGGAAGGAGGCAGAGCGACCCCTGGTTTTCTCAATGGCCAGGATTATGCAGGAGCTGAAACGTCTGCAGCTGCCATTGGTTCCCCCATAGACTGAACTGATGAGCACAGTGGGAAAAGCACTGAACTAGATCCCGGCAAAGATAAATGCTGACAACAAAAAGAACCTGAGGCAAACATGAATGGAGAGACAGGAGTGGTGCCACAGTTTCAGCACAGTCAATTGCAACAGCTCATTTGTGCATTAGCGTCATGAAATCCAGCTTCTTACACTGCAACAAAGGAAGATCTTGGGAAAGCTTTTCTACCCATCTGTTCTTCTGCTTCATCTTTAACTTAGATCACTAAAAAATACTTTCCATTGTAACTGAAAGAACTAAAAAAACTTACTTCACGTTTGTCTCTAATGCACACTCCAATTTCTCCACAATGAAAGATTTTTCTGTACAAAAAAGTTTCTCCTTGAAATGGGAAGAAAGCCTGACTAAGCCATTTAATGCAAGCAAACCTTTCCTGCCCTCCCCTCTCCCTTTTCAAACATCATCAATTTTGAGACTGGATCCCTTTAAAGCAAAGGCCTCTAAGGAGCAGTTAATTCCAGTCCTAGGAGCTGAAACAGTTCACTTTTCTAATAGCTGTATTACCTAGAGTGACAAAAGATAATCCATATGCAAATATTTAATTAAAGGTGCTGCGTGAAGAACTTATTTTCCATCAGTGCTACAAGAGTATTACGGGGTTTACTTGGCAACATAAATCATCAAGGCAAAAGGACATCTTAAAACTGCACTGCTAGAAAAGGAACTGAGGTGAGCAATGTAAGGCCAAAAATCTAGCAAGCACCAGCAAAAGTTTAAGAACCTGAAGAGGAAGTCACATCTTCACCCTGTACATTGAGACGAAAAACCAGCAAAATCTTAAACCCAGAAAAGCCCAAGATGCACAACCTCCCGAAGACCACAAGTGAAGTAATGTACTGTCATCAGTCCTCGCCCCTTCAGCTGTGTTTGACATCCTATCTGCGAGTGATTAAATATTAAAAGGCACAATCTCTTTTGCACTGGACAACTCTGAAGTGCTACGGCTCAGCACTAATGGCAGATTCTGGTTATAAATTTGCTTTGTACTCCAAGCTTTTAAAAACATGTTTGGGAGTCAACCAGTTTTCAGAGCAGAGACCTATCCCGAGAGCTCCGGAAGCTACAAGCAAGCATGACTTTTTATCAACTTGACATAAAGCTGGCCTAAAACTCACTGAACACCTACACAAGAGGAATGGAGGAATGCGAGGCCCTTGATCTTTTACTGGCTAACAAATTCAGTGCAGATACATGTTATATTTTTACTAAAGCAATTAGCAGCTCGCTCCATTTGTGACTTACATGGTTGTAGCTTATGTCACCTTCAGTGAAATTAAGTACTGGAAGAGATACTACGCATTCGCATCTTTCACCAATTTTAAGCCTGTTACAGTTTAACCACTAATTAATCCTTGGCAGCCTTCTTTATTTTTGGCAGGTTTAGAGCGCTCAGGTTTTAACGGAAAAGCACAGAAACAGGAAAGGCAGTGCTGCTGGTAGGACTGACCAAAGCTTTCGAGCTGACACCTGAAGCGTCAGACCACAGAAACCTTTTGTCCAGGCACAGGCAGAACAAACCCATAGCACTGCAGCAGCGCAGCTACTTCACACTTAGATCACCACAAGCTCTCCAGGGCTGCATCCGGGTGGCCAGCAGATCAGACAGCTGGTGAGTAATTCAAATACAGCTCACTCACTAACTCTTAGGCTGGTTTTATTCGTGCGATTTTGATATTGCAATTCAAAATATAAAAGAACTTTGTTTTGAAGAGCACCACTAATGTAAATAAAGCCTTGGGAGCGCGGCCTTGTGCAGGCAGGAGAGATTCAGGCCTTGCCTGCTCCCACGTGAGGCAGCAGCTCTTGCAACACCCAACAGCCAGCGAGGCCAGCCTTTCCCAGCAGAGACAGGGGCAGGCTCTCAAGGACAGGAGAGAAGTAGGAAAGAGAGAGCAGGCCTGAGGTTAGAGCTGTGATATGATGTACAAGAAGATGCTTTCCCCTTCCCAAACTGAACCCAAAATTGTAAAGAGAGAGAGGAAGCTGGGGATGGGTGTCTCTCCTCAACCACCACATGACCAGAACTAAGCTGATAAGGTCAGGAAGTCTGCAATGACTCAATTAGCACATGCAGAAATAACGAAGGTTCACGGCACTGGGAACTATGTCCTCTTTTCTTTCATTTCTGACCCACCCAGCACAGATCTGTTAACTGGTCACAGTTCTGTGAACTGTTAACCAAACATTTTGTCCCAGAGGTGAAAGAAGCGCAAGGGAAACACGCTTTGACAAAACATAACATATTAACACAAGACCATACAGAAATGGCCAAAGTCCAAAGGTACCAACTCACAAGAGACCACGGCGGGACAGGGAGCTGATGACCTCAGTTACCACACTGCAAGGCTTAAACTCATACAGTTTCTTTGGTCTCTTCCCTCCTCTCAACTGGAGAGGTCTCACCCACTTGGCTACTTATCTGCTAAATGTATTGCTGGCAAGATGATAACGATTTACTTATGGAAACATCCTCTTTTAGGCTAAACTAGATTAGAGGAGATATGTGTAGCAGGTAAAATAGCATTTAAGAGAAATACTGTAACAAATCAAGAGTGATAAAAAGAGAAAAAAAACTATGTTAAAGAGCCTAAAGCTACCTTTGTGTAAGTAAAGCATAAAGACATAAATAATTTGAATCTTCAGGCTTTAGATTGGCTTTAAGGAAATACCACTCACGCTTTGTCCCTTCCTTCCTGAACGGCTTTGCAAGGCAGAAGCGTGGAAGTAGCTGAAACAAAGTCTATGAAATTTGCTGTCCAAGCCCTGTA